TCACCACAAGCAAAATATGCAATTTTTTTTACTGTATTCAATAAGTAAAAATCATAAATTGTAAAACTAAAAGATTACAGAAAGGCTACCTACATTTTTCAACCGATTTCAACAAACTTCACTTTTTTTTTTTTTTTTGGCATGTAGTGTTTCTTATTGTCTTGCACATTTTTCTTTTATTTTTACATTCAGAATGCTTTAAAAATTCCATTTACAAGACAATTGTTTATAATAAAATTCTATTCAATCGGTAGAGACTCATAACGATTGAAAACAATGTTTTTGTTTGAGTTTGGGTTTGACCAATTCGTAAAAAAAAAAAAAAAAAAAAATAATTAAGACATGCGTGTCCGTCAACCTTAAACAATAATCTTTGTCAATTTTATTTTTCAGTCTTTATGATGGTGGATACTTGATCTATCTCTTACTGTTATATCCCCGGGCAACGCCGGGCTCTACTGCTAGTATCCATTAAAAAACTTATGATCTTTTATTAAGTGATGTATATGAGAACAGAAAACAATATTCAAGTAAAGACAATATCAGGGAAGCAATAAAAACTACTGTAAGTAATTTAAGTTAAATTCCAAAAGTAGAAAAGTTAAAATCATTGAATGAAAGGATCGATGTTAAGGAGCCTATATTAACATGTAAAATAATTTATTCAGGTATTTGGGATATTGTGCTTATCAAATATATTTTTCTATACTTAATATCATTTGGATGTTATTCAATAAACTATCTTCGTCCGCAAGGATGATTTCAGTGCAGCCTTGGAAGTGACTGTATGCCTAGATCAAATAGTTCTCGTCCTCCAACACCTCCACGAAGGTAGAATTCGACAAGTCTTTCATATCGTGGAGCTACTGGTTGATCTTCCTCTCAGCGATGCTACAAATTTTGTAGTCTAAGAGATTCAAATCCCAAGATCTAGGTGGCACATGTTTGAAAAGTGACCATTAAATACTTGGGCAGTCATGTGGAAGGAAGCGGCATCCTGCTGAAACACATACGTACTCTTCGGGACTCTTCGGGACCACCCGCTTGAACCAGGGCCTAACCACTGTGTCGGGCACCTCTATGTGGAAGATATCGTTGGTCTTGAAGGCCTGAAGAAATAATTGGAACGTCATGCCATGGATTTCATTTCTCTCAACCTCCAGAACAATCACAGACAACGTGAACTTAGACACATGTCGTTTTCCTCTGTTCACTTTTTTTCATCGGAGAACTAGTGTATATCACGCTACACGTGGTGCTTAAACTTGTTCAGTAAGCGCTTTGATTGGATCATACAGTTATCTTGTGCTCAGAATGTTCTTTTGTTTTTCTGTTTCCTTGGATGGAATGTCCTCGCTAAAACCTTCTTGCTCATTCCTGACCTTCAACAAAGTGACTTGGCCACTTTCAGAAAGTTACTCTGATAGGCGTGTTTTTCATTTATGACGGTGTTCTTTTTATTTCCAATGTTAGATTCAAAGCCATCACATTATTGGTTTCAATATATTTGAAAGAAATGAGAATGTTAAAATTTGGATCACGCGGTGTTACGTAGTCTTCCAGTTACGGCCCTGCTAAAAGGTATGTTCTCAAATACCTGATGAACCTTGTAGATATTTATGAACAGCATGTATTGAATGATCTCACATTTTTTTATTTCAACTAACATAGTGCTCGTCAGAAATGACAATATTATTTATATATGGATAGGCACTTCTTCCTAGAATCAGTGTCGCTTTACTGACCTCTGGGCTTTGAGAAATTGGTTTCACGCAAATACACACAAAGACGTATGAGAGAGAAAAATAACAAGAACACAAGGTAAAATTTATATATGTGGATATCTTTAGAGGTCAGCCTTTTCAAGATCTATAAATAACAAGGTTTCTTTGTTCAGTTAGTGTGCTATTTAGAAAAGCAAATTAACTTTACATTTCATCTTATATTCTTCAGAATGGCTTGAGACAAAATATTTCCCGATTTTACAACAACGGTTGGAAGAATCCTATCAAATTGCAACTGAGAGACTTAAAAAATTGGGGGTCACTATTTATCCCTCTGACGGTGGCTTTTTCATATGGGCAAACTTTAGCAAGGTAATGTATCATATGTAATATGTATGTGTGTCTGTTGAGGAAGTAACTTATCCTGTATTAATTATTGATAATTGTTCAATATAATTTTCCCGAATAGGCCATGATTTTTTTCATACGTTTATATTTTTGTATGTGTCGTATATTAAAGGCAATAGATGAATGTACTCTACTTTCTGAGTGAATGCACTTTGTATATATTGCAATTTTTCGTTACAATATTCCATGGTGTTTTCCGATTTATGTTTTCAGGTTTCTCTCTAGCTTTTCACATTATCGTAGTTGCAGCTTTAATAATTCTAAACTTTTACTCTCTTTTGTATAACATAAACCATTTTCAATCTTATTCTTTTTCTCTATTTCAGTTCATGCAAGATAAATCGTTTAAAAGCGAAGATGATTTGTTCAAACTCTTCTTCAAGCACAAAGTGTTCTTTGCTCAAGGATCAGTATTTTACTCAAAGGAACCTGGTTGGTTTCGAATCATTTTTACGCAAAATTTGGAAATCCTACAAGTTGGTACGTATGACTGAATATTTATCATTTCTGGAGTAAAGTTTTTTCTTGAAAGATAAACGTAACTGATTCCAGCTCGGTGCTATAAAACTTCCAAATTAATCAATCTTAATAGTTTTATCACAACACTTTATTTAGAATATGGGTAAGTTTGGTTTGCTAAAGACTTCCAGCTCCGATCTCTCCTGAATGATCGCGCGCAAAAAAATTTTTAAAGTAACCTCCTTTCGGACAAATGATATAGTTTCCGATTTGCCATATAAAAGTGAATTAAATTAATTCCTATTGGTCAAATAACATGGTTCTTTCGTTCAAAATTCAACCAACTTCGACATTTCTTCACAAGAAAATTCATGATAAACATGTTAACGAGTTGCTGTCCTTTGATGTAAAGTGCTTCGAGAGAGAAAAAAAGCAACTCCCTATCAATAAATTTGACCATTCCACATTCAAAGCTACGTCGTTCATTTCAAACTTCTGTCCGTTAACAACATAAACGCTACAGTCTCCCTATAGACTTTCTAATATCTTTTCTTGAAAACTATCAACAACGGTCAAAAGTACCAAGAAAATAATTTTGGAAAATTCTTTTACAAGTCATCAAACGACATATTCGACTCTACGAGAAACATACTAAAAGGATTAACAGTATTCTATGTTCAAATGAAGGATTGTTATTGATATATATATATATATATATATATATATATATATATATATATATATTAAAAATCAGTTGAATCAGCTACCTTCGTTTCTTACGGTATCCACAGGCAATTCTTTTTTATCAATTGACCCCCCACGCTTTATTTTGTTTTAAAACTAATAAAGGGGGGAAATTTAAATGTACATTTTTTTATCCCGCTTCATCTTTTAAGTAGAATTTTTTAGCATATATGCACGGACTCATTACTTCGTATTTCTGGTTCAAAAGGGTCTTTGGATCTGGTAATGTCATTATTGCTATTTTATTTATTTAACAATTAAAAAATCGAATAAAAATAATTGTATATTTTTTTGTTAACGACCGACGATTTTTACATAATATGTAAAATTAATTTTGGGAAATATTAAAATACTACTGAAGGGTTTTAATAGAAAGGTTGTTGGAAAATTGGAGAGAAGACAATTTTAAAAAAAAAAAACACCATTTCATTTGCATTTTAATATTGGCGACTAATTAAATGAGAATTATATATTGAACTAAAAGGTTTATATCAGGGTTCAAATATTTATTTTATTCGATTTCAATTATACGAAAACATTAAATTATAAAACTTATATATATATATATATATATATATATATATATATATATATATATATACGTACTGTTGTAAAACAAAAATGATGGCCACACTATGAGACGGCTGTCTCCATTTTAATGCAATTTTTTTTGGATGACACGGTGCATTATACTGCTGGAATAATCCCTCGTTATTGGGAAAGATTGAGTTTATGAATGAATGACAGTAGGCATATCTGTCACCGGTTAATGGCATACGATCAGTAAGGACTCATGTTCAATCACTCACTGCTCTATTCACGGTGCGTGGTAATGCTTTTCATTCCTGTAACACTATAGATGCCAAATGTGGAGACGGTGTCTAAAAAAAATTTTTTTTGATTGATCATTAATAAAAAACATGAGTTCTATCCTCACGAGATGCTACATATAAAATTCGACCTGTTATAAAATCAACAAGCCTAACCTAACCTAATTTTGTCATGAACATCCTAACCGGTTTCCACACTGATTCATTAGATGTCAGAGTAGAACTGTTAAAGCACGATGGCACCACTTACATCCTTTTAGAAATATGATTTTGAAAAGGCCAATATTCCATGTATATATATATATATATATATATATATATATATATATATAAATGTATATATAATTTATATATATATATAAATATATATTATATATATATATAATTATTAATAAATTATATAAATATAATATATTAATAAATTATAACATTAAATTAACACATATATTACTTACATCTTTTATATTTATCTGTTCTGTTAAAACATTTCGTGCTTCTTTAACGTTTACACTTAATTATAAAATTATTTAATAAAATTGAAGAAATAAATATACTATTTTTAACAACCACACTTTCTAAATCTGCTTATAGCATCTATTAAAATATAATCAATAAGTATAAAAGTATTTTTGAAAGAAAAATATACTCATTGACCTATAAATATTCTTAAATAGTTCATTTCATAATGTGAACACCACAAAATTTAGTACACTGCTCGCCTTACTATGACAGGACTATGAAGTAATGGTCTGTGGACATAGATAAAAACACTATGGCATACATTCGATCCACATTAGATGACATACTTGTAGCCTTGTGCCAGGCTTTCATTAATAAACACCTATACAGGGTGCGATGGAAACATTGTCATCTAAATTATGCAAAAATGAAAACAACATTGACATCTCATTTTAATAGATATATTTACCAAAATTACACAAAAATATCTTAAAATACGAAAGAGTAGATTTATTCAATAAAATTGCCATTGGCTTCAACCACTGCCTTCAGACGACTTCGGAATCTTCTGCAACTCTACTGAAAGGACTTCTTGTTTAAGTTGGTGAATGCTACTATAATCCTTGCCTTCAGTTCATCTTTGGTTGTTGGACTCTCGCTCAACTGCGCTCCACACACAATAATCAAAGGAGTTAGGTGACCATATGTAAGGGGTGATGTCGCAGAAATTGTTTGACAGCCATGACTGAGTTCTCTTACTTGGGTAACATGGTGCAGAGTCCTGTTGCCAGCAACAACCACCCTCTTGATTCAGAGCAGCACTATCTTCTCAAGACACTTGATGTAGGCCTCCGTGATTAGTCTGTGGCCCTCACCAACAAATTCGGGAGTTCTTTTCTTATCAGAACGATCAGAGTGAGTTTTCCGAGGTGCCGTACTTTCGTTATCATCATTAGACTCATCCAATTCTTTCCGAATCCTCTGCACTGTCCTCAAATTGACACCCAAACATTCTAAAATGTTTGCATTGGAGCTTCCAGTGCAAATACCAAGCTGTACAGCATGCTTTTTACAAATTTCTGGCGGAGTGAATTGCATCATGGTGCTCTTTTTCTCACAGAAGGTGGCCAACTGACTCTACTATACTGTGCAGTGAACAAAATCAAAAACAAACAACGCGCATGCGCGAAATTAAAAATATAAAATGGTGACAATTTACCCATCGCACCCTGTATATTTATCAAAACTTTACTAGTCAAAAAACAATTGCAGACTGTATACTTATGCAATCAATATGGGATTAATGAATAAGAAAATCAACTATACTAAAGAGATTAATATTAATTTCATATAATTTACACGATGTTTATAGCTTTTCTGGCTCTAAATATAATTGGTTTCTAACGCGATTTAATTTCAGGTTTGGACCGCATTGAGCAAGCACTTACATCCATTGCGGGTTAACAATGAAAAATAATGGTGGGTATATTCAATAATATCAATATTTTTTTCATTTCGCTGAGACACGATAATATGTTTATGCCATTTTAACACACATCATTTACCTGTCTGTCTGTCTGTCTGTCTGTCTCTCTCTCTCTCTGTTAACTCGAGTTATATTGATAATAGTCTAATTTCCAACTGAATTTCAATATTTATTTAGTTAGTTATTAATTTAATACCGTTCAAAAGCTAAAAAAATCTTTTGGCGGTGAGACAGAACGAACTTCATATACTGGTTTTCCAAGTAACATCAATCTGTAATTGCACGACTTTCAAACGTATAAAAATGAAAATTCTCTCTCTCTCTCTCTCTATGTGCCGTGTCAGGACGTCGGCGATCATGGCTCTCCAAAATTTCCTGTCCTTTTGCAACTCTAAATAAATCCTGTCTTTTCGTTATTTCTAAACCCTGTTCCGCCATGCATTTTCTAAAGCTCGTCGAATGTTATGCGTTTTCCTTTGACCCTCTTGCCATCAATCTGTCCTGTGAGTAACAAATTTTCCTTCTTGCTTTCTTTACAAAAGTCAGATCACAGCAATAATTGAGATTTGCCCATACATCTGGGCTGGGCATCCTCACTTTCCTGCCTTGACAGAGTTCAAAATAATTATTCTACTCTCCCTTTTCCCACAGACGAAACGTCACAAGCCTATCACCATTTTTATGTCAAGTGTTCAGACAATCCTAAGTTCCATCAGTTCAAATATTCACAACTACGATCTGCCATGCCATGTATACCATTACACTCGAGAGAGACATTTGATTTGATAAACTCCAGCAGTTGAATTGAATTTTTTATTTTATTTTTCATCCTGAAGTGTTGGAAGGTAGGATTATGAATGTTGTATAATTTTTGTTGGAAGTATTTGTTTGGTTGGTTTTATGAATTTTATGAGCTCGTTTTTTGCGTTTAAGATGAAATGGTATGGATATTGTAGATGTTTTTATGTGTTCTCAATATAATCCTCTTCTTCACTAATGTATTTAGGGATAAATATGCCTAATCTAAGATAAAATTTTATAATTATTCCAGATTTTATTCTCCGGTTGTGGTGGGAATAGAAATTGATCAGGTCAGTTTTACAACTCGATAGACGGATATGCTGATTTCAAAAGTAAAGTAGTTTGTCTTATGACAATTGTCATGGATAACATGAACATTTTAAGGAAAAATGTTAATTGTTAATTGATTATCGACAAATAATTTTACCAGATTAATTTTATTGGTTGTGCAGGACGAGAAATTGCTGCATTCATTTACGCGCAAATACCCTTGGGAAAGGTATGAACCCGCATCTTCTCTCTCCAGCTATACAAGATCTTTATGAGGTTCCATCAAAAAACAACCCATTGAACAAGAGTTGTGCAAGGGTCCATGTAATGGATTATGTAACTACTGAATTGCTTTTTAATAGATTATAATGACATTTTTCTCGATTTTGTCTTTCATAATAAATCTGGTTTCAAGTAACAAATTCGAAACTTGAACGTGATAATAATGAATCAAGAGTCAGATTATTCATAAAAATGACATTGTATACTAAGGGTAATCAATGACTGCGGTTTGAATTCATTGAATGTCAAGTAAGTTTATTGACAAGAAAGCAGATTTGTTACGTAAAATAACTGAGTTTTTTAATCAGTACAATGCAATGGACTAACTATACTATGGAGACGTAGCCTTATTATCAATGAATTCGTCTCGCAGACCATTTCATTCAATTCTCACTGGTTGCTCCATTAGTTCAGTCTTGTGTCAGTTGAACCACTCCCGAGGGCATTTAGGAACACTGGTCAGCGGATAAGTCAAAAGGGAAGAAACCTGCTAGCTGTGGCATAAAAAAGTGATACGTCACACAGAAGGGATTAAGCATCTCAAGCGACCAAAGTCAGCTGGTCGAAGGAAGGCAGGAAAATGTCTTGAATGTCAGATACGAATCTGGTTGTGTATGGGACAAAGGCTTCCTGGTCAGAAAGTCGCCAGCATAGCAAAGAGCTAAAAGATTTCGGTATTTTTAAAGACTACGCCAACGAAAAGAAACAACAAAGAGCATCCTTCGGCCGACCACGAAGTGGAAACTTTAAAAACAAAGACATTGCAAAAGATTGTTAACCTCCCTGGGATTCTTGTCGTAAAAACACGTAGATTTTTTTCGTTTATCTAATAGTGAAATACGTCACACAAAACCTTTTTCCACATAGATTTCCCTCTGTTTTTTTCCTAAGTAATTTATTCTTTTTTCCAACAGTTTTCATTCCTTCATCTCAAAGTTTTTTTCTTTGAAAAAAATTGTATTGTGAATCTTTTCAGAGCCATTTGTTTCTATAATTTAGATATGTTATCTTGCTTTGTCGTTAATAAGGCACATGAAAGGAAACTTTTGTGCAAGCTTTTTTTGTAAAATTTGTAACTTTCAAATTTCATTAGGCAGTTTCGAGTCTTTGTTAATGTTTGCGCCTTTTTTTTAACATTCAGGATAAGAGTCTCTCTTCTGCTATTCCCTGTCACAAGTTTGTTTTATAAGCTTGCTGCTGTGTGCTGGTAACTTTATGATGTTTTTCTCTCTTTTTCAGGTGATTTGATCTTGCAAATAATTGATAGAAGGCAGAAGATGGACGATCATTTTATTATTAATATAATCTCATACATATATGTACACTTTTGCTTGTAATCATGGTCATTTAATGAAAACTTCATATTGAACACTGTTATTTAAAAATGACTCTTTTATTTTTCTTGCGTTATATTTAATAATAAAAGCAACAATGTATTACATACGATACAGCTCTCAACAATAAATACTTATTCTATGTCTAGTGACTTTGTTATGTATCAATACAAATGCACGAATGGACGATAATTCTCGTAGTGAATCTGTCTTCCAAACAATACATACCTATTGTATTTACTCCAAGAGCGGTTAAAAGTATTATTTCGATGTTAATATTAAAGGTATTTTTTAAGTTTCCATTTTAAAAATACTTTGTATCATATTCTACAAAGTGTTATGGTTTAAAAAAAACTTTTCTACATTACTTTGGCAATGCTTATAAATATATACAAGTAATACACGTTTTTTTATTATTCTTTCTAGATAATGAAACTAAATTATGCACCCGAAAGCTTAATGACCTGACCTTAATTGCTTTTTTTAATCAAAGTTTTTTTTAGTGAAATTACTTATTTCCTAATCTATATGTGCATTATATATTTTATCTTATGGGAAAACAATATATAATTTTTTATATATATCAAGAACAATTTCAGGGAAATCTGTGATAAGGTGAATTATATGCCCAAAACATATATTTAAAAAAATTTAATTTAAAATTCTCAGCATTCTCTTTCCTTCATGCGCATGTGTAATCGCATCAACGTCAATATCACTTTAGTCTGATGAAGTTCTAAAGGACGAAACGCGTCACACAAAATTTTTTTCCAATTTGTTATAGATTTCCCTAAAATTTTATCTTATAACGCATTATTTTTATCTTTACATACTTCACTATGTTTTCAAAGAGACATGTAAGTAATTTTCTAAGTATTAGGGTTAAGTCTTTTATTAAAATCTTGTAAAATTTGTATTTTAAAAAAATAGCTTTTTTGTTCTATCTGTTTACTACAATTAAGTTTTTTTTTTTATTTTAATTATCTCACCACACGCAAGGTAATGTTGCCACTAGGACGCGGGGTTTGGCTATAGGGAGTGAAAGGAAATGAGATGACTCATTCAAAAAGGAGAAAGGAAAAATAAAGGGATAGTGACTAAATGGAAGATAGCGATTGACGCTGCATTTAAATTTTTGAAGATTGTGTGAAGCAAGAAATATCCACAACAGGAGTAGAGTATTATCTCTCGTTCCCTGTTTAGGACATGGTTCATCGGTTCTTTCTTTATTTCTTTTAAGGTCATAATGTCTTAACTTTTTGGTGATCTGGCTGCTTCATCCAACTGGTAGTAAGGAGCCCGAACTCTTTGGCACCACTTCGAGAGGCTACTCTGATCAACAGAGGCATAATATCGGGGTATTTGTAGTGCTATTTCGCGTATGAGTCAGTGTCCCTGCATTCATTTCCGGAGGTCAACCCTGAGGCCACATTACGTTCTACTTAGTTTGTATTGACATTGACGACAAATAGTGATAATTATTTGGGCCTTTTACTTTTTCTCCTCAAAACATATCTCCTTATGACAAAAACAGTGAAAAGAAATACGAGAAAACCAGTAAATAAAAAAACACCTCAACCTTTCTTTCTCCAAATTCATGTTATCCGTTCCAACTTCTGCTGCGTAGAATTTTCTTCTCTTCGAAATGTCGCCAGATATCTTTGCATTTTGTAAAACCAATTTAACTTCTTCCATTGCTATCAATAAATTCTCTGTTCCAGTTTATCCTCCTCTCTACCGAAAATATTCTAACATTCATGTGCATGGCCTTGGTGTTTAGCGCCGTATGGTTGCTTCCTGTACCTTCATGGTAATTGTTCGGGTGAACTCTTCAGTGTGGTACCTGGACTTTGTGAATTTGGACGCGGTGCTGGATTGGTAGCGAGGTTTCATCGATTTGCAGTTGAATTGGCTAGATGTAGTCGTGGGTTCTGTGCTAACAGTTTCTTTTCTCGCACTTCTCACTTGTGTAACTCTTTTCCGGCTCCGTGTTTTCCGGCCAAATTTGAGCTTCAAAAATGTAAATGCAATGTCAATCGTTATCTACTGTCTTCCTGATTACTCTTCTGTTGCTCTCTCTCCTTAATAATGTTTCTGTTTTCTAGTACTTTCACACTCAGTAACCCTATGTATCTTAGTGACTTTACTGCCTTGCTTGGGATAAATTCGATTAAAACAAAAAATAAAATATATATAAATATTTACATAACTGCAATAAATTTGAAGCGTTACTTGTAAATATAATAACAATGAAAAATAAATGCTTTTATTCACATTGGTCCGTTATATTTTATTGCACACTAAACAGTTCTTTAATTGTTTTTGTCAAGCAACAATATTAAAAGTATACAATCAATTTTTGAATTTCAAACATCATGAAAACTACGGCCTCCAACACATAAAGTAAGATTACCAGACACTGACAATGATGGCAACTAAAGACGGGAAACTTTGCAACTGATGACATCACAATTGAACGCTAGTGCCGCTCAACATACTGTAAAATGAACCCTGCATTTCAAGGGGATTCGTAGTCATCGACCAACAAGTGTAACATTATCGATGTCATGGCAATGGCTACTGCGCCTCAACTGGAACAGAGAACATAGTGGACCGTGCAAAAGAGGCGTCGTATTAGCTGATCAAACCAGTCACAAAAACCAGTTTGCAATCAAGATCGTGTGTAGAGGACATTGCATGAGACTATAAATAAAGCCTCGAAAATAAATATTGTGGTGCCTTTGTAATAGTGTAGAGTATGTATTATCTGGTGATGCCTTTCTAATAGTATAGAGCATGGATTATTTATGAAACAGGAGCTTGTTTTGAAACAAGTAACATATTCAAATCTGTAGCGGGCGTGCGGCCCCGTATCAGGCAAGGGGTGAACGAGGTCACAAGAGGCCCGCTAACATTTTTGAAGACGTTAAATCTGACAGTGAAACAATATGGACGACAGAACGAGGATATGTATGATATATAGAGGTTTATTCTAAAAGGAAAAGGAAATGAAGATGGTCGGAAACGGTAGAGGTGCTGGAAGCTGCAGGAGTGAGCTGGAAGCTGCAGGCATTGATGGTCGAGGTTGGCGTTGGTAGTTGCTAGGATCATCGTTGTTGGGGGTTGAAGCCGATGTGGGTTGTTGCCAGGATGATCGCTTGGTGATTGTTGATGTTGAGTGATGCCAGGATGATCGTTGTTGGTTGTTGAAGCTGAATCGTTGCCGGGGTGCCAACTTGTTGCTGCAGTTCGTGTTGCCAACTTGTTGTTTGTCATTGCCGGGATGCCAACTTGACGTGTTGGGAAGGAAGGAGAGAGAGAGAGAAAGAAAGAAAGTTCCCAACTATCGTCAAGTTGGCAGACAAAAAAAATTGGGAGCGTAACTTAATACACAGCCCGTTGATCAGCGCCCTTGGCCAATGAAGGTCAAGGGGCCTGCGTAGCCGACCGTTTCGGTCGCCGACCGCCTCCGTGAATCTAGCGAGAAATCACTGTCTTGTTACGAGGGAGACCAGCAAGAGAAATTGGCTAAGCTAACCGAAAAGTCTCTATAATAAAATACTACAAGGTTAGCTAAAGAGAACTAAGGTCTCAAAATGACTAGTAGTATATTACAATTAGGTTTGTAATATAGCCTAACTAAAAAGGGGATTTGCTAGTCCCTCCGACGTGTTAACAGTGTGTAAGGAGCATGAATGAGAGGTCAAGGTTGAAATGACCTGTTCCTCTGCCGGTTCAAGGATAGAAGGAGGAGGTAACTCCGACAAATCTTGACGAAGACTATTTGCACCTATATGCTTACCATGTTTCCCAATGGTGACGTTTTGTTCCAGCAAGATAACACAACCTCATCATGCACAAGTGGCACAAAACTACTTTCAGGAATACAAGACTGACTCTGGTACTTCACTGGCCCCATCCTCACTTGATTTAAGCCCTATTGTGTATTTATAGGACGCTTTTATCCAGCCACACTTTAGAAATACAAGTGAGTTATGGACAGACCTGAAATGCACTTGTGCCTAAAATATACTCATGCAATGACACCAGTTACAGTTACAACCTTAATCCCCACTTCAATTTCGAAGTGAAAATAAATATAGGAAAATATTTTTCAAAATACTTGATAAACACTTCCTCAAAATTTCTGAGTTGCACAAAATCTTCAACAAAAAACACCGTGAAGATAAGTTATAGTTGTACCAGCAATTTAGAAAATATAATTAAGAGGCAAAACATCAAAAATTTTAATAAAGATGGCGGGCGAGATAATGATATAAAAACATTAGAAAACATACACTTGTGAAATAGTAATCAAGGAAAATTTACATGACATCATCTTCCATAATTCGGCCAATAAAATTTCTTAATAATAGATTATCACATACAAAAACATGATTCCATTTGATAAATAAATATAAAATTTACAAGGTTACAAGTCAATAATAATGCGACTTTTGGAACACTGCACAACAGAAGGGGTAGTCTACAAGGAAGAGCTGGAGAATGAAAAAGGCCAAAATAAAGTGTATTTTAGGTGAACAAAAAGCAACTTTAAGAAAAGATTGTATAATCATCGATAATCATTTAAGCTAGAAAGTTACAAACATTATACGAAACTAGCTAGCCACGTGTGGGAATTAAAATTTTTAAAAAAATGGAAAAAGCCTTAATATATGTTGGAGTATTTTGAAAAAAAGCCAAGCCATATATTATTGGAAATATTATGTGCAGCTTGTATCAGGAAGAAAAGCTGGCGATTATGTAATATCCAAAGCAAAACAACTTGTTAAATAAAAGGTCTGAAGTAATTACAGCTTCTAAACACACGAAAAATATCTACTGGAAGAATATGAACCCGGATGAGAGTACAACAATTATATATAAAAATATGTCGGATTTAATTTATAATTTTTCTCCTCTTCTTCCCTCTCACATACTTTACTCCTTTTTTTCACATTAAATTTCCCACCAACACCAAAAGTGTATAAATTGAGTGATAGAAAAATAATTGACTTTTTAACTGCGTGAAGAAGCCTTCATTTGTAGAAACTGCAGTATCGGAAAAGGTTAGTGTTTGCAATATTTTAGATCTTATATATATATATATATATATATATATATATATATATATATATATGTGTGTGTGTGTGTGTGTGTGTGTGTGTAAGATCTAAAATAAACAAAAAGAAAAATATGCTAAAAACAACCAAAATAATTAAAAGAAAACGCCAATCTAAAAACCTAAAACACTTACTAACCTCATCCAAATTTAACCAACACACAATACAGAGAATCACAAAATGCAACAAAAAAAGATCTGGGGTTTGTGATATCATTATAGAAGGAAACTCCTACACTTTTGAAAATCCCACAACGACATTCATAATAAATAAAAATTTAAACTGCAACTCCAAAAATGTGATTTATGCACTCAAATTCACAAAATACAAGAAGTCATATATAGATATCAGCCAACAACTAAATAACAGGGTCTCCCTACACAAAAGCAACATAAAATTATCAGACAACAGAAAACTCTTTGTATCGCAACACATCTATAAATGTAACCTGGGTGAATTTAAAATTATGCCAATATACCAAACAGACAATTATTCTTACCTACAAATACAAGAAAAAAAAAACTTCATAAACCACTTTCAACCAGCACTAAATACATCATAACCCCACACGCAAAAGCACACAACTTGCACACATAATGGCCAAATACAATGGTCAAACCACTCGCATCCATGCGCACACACTCACACAAAAATATATGTGGGCACGAATATGTATACACATACTGGCAAAAATAATAGACTGCTCACAGGCACGCGCGCAAACCCTACACAACATAGGAAGTGTGTGTGTGTGTGTGTGTGTGTGTGTGTGTGGATGTATATGTGTGTGTATGTATGTATATACTAATTCCTTATAATAAGACAGTATGTGTGTATAGAGAGGGAGTACGCATGTATATGCGCGTACTGGTATATATATATACACATATTGACAAAAACAAAATTGCTCACGGGCACGCACGCGAACCCTACACACCATAGGAAGTGTGTGTATGTGTATTTCCGTGTATGTGTATGTATGTGTGTGTGTATGTGTATATGTACATATGTGTATACTAATTCCTTATAATAAGACAGTATGTATATATGAAGAGGAAATATACGTATATGTAAACATGCTGACAAAAACACAAAAAAATGGCAATAGATCTAAGAACACACAGGTGTCACTAAAAGATAAGAATATAGATATCTTCCTCACCCTTTCTCGGACCAGTCTTGATTGTTTTATTACCCTTCACACAGAATTCTTTCACTGCCAGTTCAAGAAATACATTTGGATTATTAACCCACAAAAAAGAAAATGTCTAATATCGAGAATATTTAACATCGAAAAACATAAGAAAAATTAATTCCTTTTAATAATATGTAGAAATATCCACTCTTTGCCTGATGAAGGTCGCGAGACCGGAAACCCGTGTAGCAAAATTATAGAAATAAAGCATAATATTTTTTTACTAATCCACATTACAACCAAAAACGTTTGCGGTTTCTCTCTTCTTTTTATTATACAAACTTTTCTCTCATTGGAACTACTATAACCTTTTTGCCTGTGAGTGTTGACTTAAATGTTCACTTTTATATTTATATAAATATATATATGTGTGTGTTTCTGTGTGTATGTGTGTGTGTGTTTCTTCTTCACTGAGATATTGTTTTGTTATTTAATTTTCTTTTAATGCGCAAAGATATATAAAGACTTCAAAAGAAACAGAATTTTTGCTTCTGAATGTCTAGAATTTCATATTCAGGAAAACGGAATAATTTTTGTCGTATTCGATCGGTAAGATTTGATTCACCGTCCGTGCTCCATGAAAAGCTGCTCCAATTGCCACACTTTGCGTCAATCGCAGCAGTGAAATTTCCTTCAACTTTCCCTTCTCACTGTATCCTTGTAATACATCTATGAATCCTGCCAAAATACAACAAAGGCGATATGTAAGTTCAGGTAAAATTAGAAAAAAAAAGTAATTTATTTCATAAGCTTATAGTTGTATATTTAAACAAAACGCCAAAATGGCATTTAAGAATATTCCTATATCAAAAACACAACCTAAAACTAATTTACTTAAAAGGGCTAGTGCAACATTTCCAAGTAACAGTAAGTAATGTATTGTAATTATCGATATTTGTTTTGATTATTAACTAGTACAAGTGGAATAACAGCACTAAGCGTGTCAACATGTATAGATGGAAGTTATGTTAAAAATAAACAAAAACCAAACGCTACTTTTATTTTTATACAAAATATTTGACACAATTTACTTTGAGGTCACTCCGCAACTAAAAACCTTCCAATTTTGATTACTGTCAAGTATCGACACTCTTAATCTCAGCCAATGAGCAACATGTAAGATGAATTTTCGATACCTTATTTTGGAGAAAAATACCGTCTTCGAAGTCTAAAAATGTCCTTGTAACGATCTTTATATATGTTAGTTAATTTCACTTTGGAAAAGAGCCCAATTATTAAATTTCCTTCTCGTCATCAATATAAGGATTTTACTTTTGCTCATTGTAAATGCTACTCTTAAATGCAGGTGAGGGTGTCAAGCATGTAGCCCGCTACCTTCTTAAACGTGGCCTACGCCAAGTTTATAAAAAATTTAAACTGCTTGACTGTGCATCGTCTGCTTTTCTGAGATAAAATAGATGTTACGTTGGGTTCTTGCTTAAACTTTTGTATTTCAAAAATATTGTTGGTGCATTTCGATTTGTTGTGTTTATTTCTCATTCGAAATCAATCAAAAGGTTGCCTCCAAATTCCGAAAAGTGAAATCTGGAGCCTATCTGCGTGAATAAAAAGAAAACTGGAAATTGAATTTGTGGAGTCGAAGAACAGCTGTTGCCTGAAGCCAGGTCAGCCCGGTCAAGGAAAAACAACACAGAAGAAATTTGACGACCACTAGACGAGAATTGAATGGAACATCAATGTCCCTCCCACATCAAGGAAAATTCTTCGGCTTGTGTGATTGTTTTGTTCTTCACTGCTTCCACAAACTTTGCTTCGAAATTTGTATCTATTCTTAGAAAACTATTCAGAGTATTTTCCCTTGCTTCATTTATTTTTATGTTCTTTACTTTTTCCGAGGACCTTACGCAACATTGTAATTTTTATTGTAAAAAAAGTTATATTCCATTTGCATTATTTTTACATACATGTTATTAGCCATCATTTGGCACACGAATCACTTGATTTGTGTAAATTTCTTTTATTTTTTATTATCGTCTGTTTTTTTTAAAATTCACTTCTTGTCATATGTCTTTGTTGTGTGCCCTTATAAATTAAATGTTGCCTCAAACGTTTGCTTGAATTTTTTCGTTGGGTTTTTTACCAAATAAAATTCCTTTACCTTTGCTGCTTCTGATATATATTGTGTCTTTAAATGCATTATTAAAAAAATAGAAAAATTAATTAATTAACTTCTGTTTGTCTTGGTATTATTGCCTTTGCCAGCTGAACAGAAACTTTCCGACGCTTTACAGGTGATTCTTGAAATAATGTAAATAAGAACGGTTACAATGAATTATGTGTATATTATAGAGAAAAATGGGGAAACTTAGGGAGGAAAAGAAAAATCAAATCTTGTTTAGTCTACTCATCTTGTTTCTTAAATCAAATGAGGCATTGCGCATATCGAAGGTAACCAATTTTACTTTTAACCTCCTAATCATGTCTTTAAAAAGAATAATAGTAAATGAAGTGTGTCGCGTGCTGCAGCAAAAGTGAGAAAACGTACTTTTTGTTGAAGAGAACGGAAAACCAATATATGGTTGATTTGCACGCAACATATGACTAAAAATATAAGAAAGCATTATGCAATTACTCTTGCTTCCATGTTTGAGAAATATAGGGGAAAGTTATGTAAAGACAAGCTTAAGGAGTATTTAATGGTATTTCATGTTTTAGTCGGGTATTTAAATAAATAGTAGTACAGCTCCTCACCATTACCTTCTTGTCAAGAGAATTTACTAGCTGGCTAAAGGGTCAACCTAATCTACATTAATGAATGCCTAATACACAATACCGATGACACTGATACATATATTCGCCAAATTTTAGGAGAGAATTATTCTATCCTTTGCAACATCAATATCAACAATAATCCATGATATGGAAACTTTATGAAAAAATAAGTAACTGAACAAAATTTACTTTAAATCTATTAAAATGTGTTACCTTTTCGCAGAAGGTCCCAACTCTTAAAAACTGATCCGACGCAAACAACTTGGAGTCCTCCAGATGCTGAAAGCATTTCCTGAAATAAATTCCTCTTTGTTAGTTTTATTATATATAATATATAGCAAGTAATCTATGGAGTAAAATTATTTTTCTGCACTTTTAACTTTCAAAATGTGTCTCATGTGCCAACTTCAAATAGTCAATCTCAAAATACTGTATTTAACGTCATATAAGACTCGTACTTACTTCAGAAATGAATATTAACAAATAACTGTTGTTTGTTACACCGAATGCTGTTGGAACTTAATCCAAATTCCCTATCTGATGCAATTGAAAACATGAAATTCGAATATTTGGTGGAAATTTTGCACGACTATTATTATTAGAGGATGATAGCACCAGATTACTCTCTCTCTTTCTCTCTCTCTCTCTTTCTCTCTCTCTCTCTCTCTCTAAGAAGAAGAAGAAACTGTAACTAAGGTCTTCTTAGTGTTGCCCTGTTATTTCTAATCTCTGAAACGTATCCTGCATTTTCATACAGAAATTTTAAAATAGCAATTATTAAAAAGAATAAAGCAAAGTTATTCTTCTACAGTAGATTATATATCTGCTTCGAAGTCGGCTTCAAAAAGAATGACAATTACGCAATACATATAGTCCAGATGTTTCAAATCTATGACTCACACGAACTGTAAACATACAAGCAGGGATCTTCCATTAACTTTCACGTACTGGAAAAATCACCTCACTTTTTTTCGATTCTCAATTGTATCAGTATACCTTAATACTGGGAAAAGCCCGGTGAGAACGTTCAACAAAGAAATGAATGGTGAAATAATGCCACGTCGAGAAAAGAACACATGAATCCTGTTTCTAATATATTTCGTTAATTATTCAGGGATACATATGATACATTCTGGGTGAGAAGTAGATGGTACTTCTCACGACAGTCTAAAGGACAAAAAATCCTTTCGGCCAACGAGAACTCCGACTCACTATTACCACTTCTTTGCCCACCTCTACATCACAACGTGCGGCTTGCCACTAAACTAACAATTCTAACAGTGACTCTTATATAAGTCTACGAACGGAATCCCCTAACTTCCGACCAAGTGGTACCTCATCTCGAAAGTTTTAATTTCTTTATCTACTCTACTCCTCTTCAGCTAGCGGCTGATTGCTTTGAAGTCCTCATTTCTAGAGTTTACAATATACGAAGTCATAAAACCCGGCCCAAATAAAATCATTTACAGTCTACTTTAATTCATGGATGTTCTTAGCTATTACCGGGTTCCATTTGATCGGGTTATGATGACCGAAAGACTGAAATAGCTACTTTTGTATGCAAACATTTTAATTTTTGTTGGTATCGGGATTGAATCTAAATACCTGATATTAGTTTTTCTTGTCTGTGGAGTTTTAACCTGATATCACAATCTCAAAAGTTGTTTTTATATAACCCGTACGATGAGATTTAATACACTTTTTTCTTTTATCTAGATATAAATTTTTACAGATTCTTTCTAATTTCATGAATGTACTAATCCTTCGGCAGCATCTTTGCGGCTTATGCAGTAGAAGAACTTTATCTTTTAATGGAAATGATAAAGTTGCTTAAACAAAGATTGTGATAAATAAGTGCAATGTCAAGTAATTTTGATTATAAGTTAATACGTGGCGAGGCGCATTCCAATGAAGACAAACGATGTAGTAGTATATGAATCTTATCGAATGACGATCGAACTAGAGTAGGAGATCCTAAAAGTCTTCTGAGTAATTTTTAATGGCATTAAAACGGCCGATAAATAAAATATTTCTTTTAGCAAATGGGTTTTTTCTCTGTCATAACCAGACTGAAGATTCCCATACCTCACTGACTGAAGGAAGCTGTGCAGTAATATGCTTGGCAAGGTAACGTCCTGCTTCATCAAAGACATAGAGACAAAGTCCGTCTTTCACTTCCGTCGCCCCTAAAAGAAAGAAAATAAATTAAGTATACAGACACGCATGAGTTGTAATGGCTTCTTATTTATTTCAACGGAAACTACAACAGATACAGAAATTACAATTACTGGAAAGAACAAATCTACATAGCGCACTATTTTTCCACATATTTATCAACACATATACGAGGCGCCCTTCATTCTACAGAGGAATAACTGTGCAGGGTGGCCAAAAATGTGGTTTGACACACAAATCGCTGATACCGCTTTACGTATTGTTCATCCAATACAAGGCGCAAAAGTCACTCAATGTAGAAGGTCACTGAATGAGGTTGTTGTATGAGTGTAAGAGAAGGAAGAGGTAAGCAGTGCAGTTTGAGGATATGTAGGAAATATAACAATTAAGACTGTAATTAACTGTAAGAGGTTAAGATTGTAGCGATTGTGGAAAGTTTGTTCCACAAGTAGCGGTTTGGGGGAAGCTGTCCGAGTGCAACTTTCTTCTTACTGATGGAATACGAAGGGAATGGGTGGGTGATTCGTTCCAGTGTACGTCGCAGGATTAGCTGTAAAATCTGGACTGGTGGAGCCAATAAATGTAGCTCGTCAAGACACTTGCCAGGAAATTAACAATAGAATAGAGAGAGGCTTGCGATGTTTTCGTCTGTGGGGCAAGGGGTTGTAGAGTGGAAAATAATTAATTCCCCACAAGGCAGCGCGTAGATGCTTTTGAATTCAATAACTGGAAACTAAGTAATAGGTAACTTCAACCCCGTTGTGGCAGCAGTACACGACTTTTGGTTTGATCTAACTCTTTTAGAGATAGAGCATAGCTGGAACGATACAAGGAACCGGCATTTTTCCAGCTTCTTTTAGCGATGGATCATATATACGAGTTCCACTAGAGGTTTAGAATTCACTTAGTTAAAGCAAGGGGCATCCTTGAGAGAACAACTGTTCATCACAATAGTCGAAAATTCAGAGTCTGTTCGATGATGACGTAACGCTACTAGTTTTGTTTTGTGGGTATTGAATGTTACAAACTAATTATTCCCCCATTAAGTTTTTATAGCTATGTCAGAGGAGAGATCAGCAGCCATGTCAGAGGAGAGATCAGCAGCCATGTCAGAGGAGAGATCAGCAGCCATGCTCTGAATGTTTTGGGAGGTGCACTCACATACTTGTATCCTTTGTATAGATATTTACTAAAGATTGCTTAATATAAGCAGAAAAAGTGTAGGACCGAGAACAGAGCCTTAGGGAACTCTCGTATTAATCTAATGACTTCAGAAGTCTGGCCATTAACAACAACCTTCATGGATAATTTAGAAAACTCTTCCAGAGATTCCATAGTTGGAGTGTTTTTTTTGCAACCCTTATTCCGCACCTTGTCAAAGGTCTTTACGATATCGCCCTCGTAATGAATTTATTGTCTAGTACCGCTGTGTGTAATGACAGTTATAAGTAGTGGACCTTGAAGAGTGAAATCCTTACTGTTTGTCACTCAGGGGGTTAACACATCGATATTGCGACGGGGATGAACGCTCACTCGCATTCTTTAAAACAGGGAATATAGCTGCCACCTTCCATAGAATTAGGAAGGATTTCTCCTTTAGTAGAGGTTAAACAATTTAACCAAACGAGTGAAAAAGCGTAGAAAACTTGAAAATTATTGATTTCATTGTATAATTATATAAGAATCGTTTAAATCTGTTTACAACTTTACTGTCATGCTACCAACATTTGCCACTGACAAAGTGGGCCAAAATAATACAACAGGAAGCATTACTACCGCAGAACATGACGACTGTGACGGATATGCTATTCTCTGTGCACTCTTACCAGCAAAACGCTCTATTTAATTCTTCCATCTCCTATCCAATTATTTCCTACGATAATTGTGACCAAATGGGCAAGATTCTATTCAATCTCCTATCTTTTTCTCTTACTATGAGTCCCAGTCACCACAATTTTTCTCCTTTTGTCACCTCTATATCCCTTCTTTTCGTACCACTTTGATCCTTGTTGACCTCTTTTTATCGATTACAGATTTCACTAAATTTGCAATTTCCATTGATTTGGTGGAATTTCTGTGTTTGTTTCCAAGTGATTTTGTTCACTTCCATATTTTGCACCTATACATCACATATAACATTATATATTGATTGTTTTAATGAATAATGAAACCGTCATTAGATCTGGTGTGATTTGACCTCTCATCTAAAGAGTGCGTCGATCACCAAGCAAAGTTCAACAGTGCCTTTCAGATTTTTCTTTGATTCTTGAAATAGACAGATCTGCTCAGTTTCGTATCCTAACGTAAACAAAGCAATTTGTAAGGAAATGGATGGATTTTTTTTTATTTATTAATCCGGTACTATTCACCTTTGTTTGGTCATCGATGCCCTCCGTCGCCGAGAGGTCAAAGCATATCAGATCTAATGATGGTTTCTCCTAGGAGAACGCAGATTCAACTCGTGACGGAGAGCGCATATTTTTCTTTAATAAGATTTCTCAAATATTCAGGCCGGAAAGACGAAAATAAATAAATATACTGTTTAATAAATAAACGTAGCGTTTACTCAAATACGAGTATCGACTAAAAATAACGTTCAAGTAATAAAGATTTATCGGATTAATAAATAAAATTCCACCCCTTACCTTGCAAAATATATATATATATATATATATATATATATATATATATATATATATATATATATATATGTTTATTAAAAAAAGAACAAACCGATTTCATTACGCAATATTTTAATAAGGAAAAGCAATAGAAAACTCCAACGAAGTCACAAGTACACTCTACTCACAATCAACTTTTCTTTTCTGCCTTACAACTGTTCAATGTTTTCAATCAACTACATCACGTGCAACATCAGTGAGATAAGAGAATTCCTCCCAGTCGCGTATCAGCATATTACGATCCATTGAGTTTATTGCTGTTGTTATTCGATGTTTAAGGTCATTGAGGTTAGTTAGTAGCAGTGGAACATAAATGCAATCTTTTACATGTCATCACAAGAAAAATATCACACACAGTGAGATCTGGGGATCTCGCAGGCCCAGCACAAAGATCAAGGTCTTGGTAAGTGCCTGAATGAGGTGTAGTCTGTAAGATTTCAAATGTAGATGTCTTCTTAGCCAGATAGTGGGCTGAGAGAGTGCAAGCTCACGGCTAGCTCGATTTGTGGACTCCCCTCAAACGCAGCCCGGATTCTCGTCACTTTTTCCTCCGAAACTCGTGGTCGTCCTGGACTTTTTCCTTTACACAAACACCCACTCTTTTGAAACTGTTTAAACCACCGTCGAATGTTCTTAGAGGAGGACGGATTAATGTCGAAATGCCTTCGATGCATGCTGCACCGTGACAACAGCAGAATGCCTTTTGCTGAGGACTGACCATTCAGGGGTAAACAAACAACTGAACGTTGCCGGAGATACGACTACAGCGCCCCTGTAGAAAACTCCTCTTTCAAATGGTCACTGACTCATTCTATGACGATGCTTGAGAACTAAAGCAATGCGTCATGAAATCCTTCATTCTTTTTAGAATGATCCTTTATATATATATATATATATATATATATATATATATATATATATATATATATATATATATTATATATATATTATATATATATATATATTATATATATATAGAGAGAGAGAGATTATATTTGATATTTCAGAAATCATTATTAAATGTTGTTCTGACCAATTATTCAAAGTATCATGCTTCAGTATAATTATTAAGCTCGCCACTTAAAATCAAAGGCTAATGAATCATGAAAAATGCTTTGAACACTTCAAAATTAGAGTTGCTTCAAGAATTTCAAGAAGAAATATTTTGCATACCTTTTGCCACTTCAACGCAAAATCCTGCAACTTTTCTAATGTCAAATTTGCTATAGAAAATGTCCATGAGGCTCATTTTATCTTCTATCTGCAGGAAAATATAAATAGGGAAAATATGATTGTCTTACTTGCAATCAATGCTGTTCGATATTTTCTAATTGCAAATAATTATTGAAATTGGAAACAAAAAACTTTAGTGTTGCCAGCGCTGAATATATCGATTCAAGATAAAAGAAAATAGATGATTTTAGCATATGACTAAAAATGCGTGACTTATCTGTGTATTTATCTCAATTAAGCAAAGAGAAAGCTTATCTTTTTTGCCTTTAACAATGTACAACAATCTTTCTTAGGTATAGGTACGAAAGAAGTGACTAATGGACGAACATATTTGCTTGTAGATAAAATTCTTTGTGAAGTCTTTGTCGACCATTAAAAGGCAATACTTGTCAGCATTAGAAACAGACAGGATCATTTAAAAATCAAAACCTTTACAATTTTTTTAATTGGATTATTTAGATTCTGTTTTAATGCATTAATTAAAACTGATGAACATTAGAGATTTACTGAGTTAACGTTTACAACAAAATCTTTACAATTGCATACATTGAAAGAAATAAAATTGAAATCACATTTAACTCTACAGCTGATAAACATGTTCTAAATTTTAAGTTTTATAAAAATACAAAGAATCTCATTAAAAATTTTACCTCAAAATATACGTTAACTGCTTTTTTAATGTAAGCAATGTCATGCGAACTCTTCACCAAGCCGTCTTCATGGTCAAAAATAATTTTAATGGCCTTATAAGAAATCCAGTAAGCTGCAATAATAATAAATGCATTTTAAACTTCCCAAAATGCACTCACAATGCAGTATCACGAAAGGCTATACATACGTGACAAGTGAAACAAATACAAATGTTTTTGACAGGTATATTAGTCCAAAGTGATTTGACATCTAGATTTAACATCTAAAATCGATAAGACTAAATAGTAAATGAAAAGTAAAAATACTAAATTTCAGTAAAATTCTCTCTCAGTAAAACTCGAAAAACATCTATCCAGGCAGTAAAATTATAGTCACTGCCTTCATGACAATCAAAGATTTGGTCAACAAAAACTCAGGATCAACATCGCATCAGAAGTGGAGATACAACTGACTGCAAAACCATAAAAATTGTGTAGGTGAAACTTCTAGAAACCTTAAAATCAACATCTATGAACACAAAAGTGACCTCCGTTGGGATAATCCACTAAACTCATTAGTAGCACATAGAATTAAGGCATACCATAACTTTGATTTTAAAAATGTCACCTTAATAAAAATAAAAAAATAAAAAAGAATACAGTCCGTTAAGATATACATGCCTGCATACTTACTAATGGCACAAAAATTGAACATGTTACATCTAACAGACCAATGAAAATAAACAGCACAGAATCCAATCTCCGAGTTTACCTTCATTATCAAAAGATATCTGATGGAACTAAAATAAAATAGCGAAACCGGTCAAATTTATAAAGGTTTTCTTTAAATTTTGTCGCATCTAAACATTCCTTACCGTAAGAGGCTGTTTAAAGTTTCATATACTAGGCAACCATAAAACATATATTGTCGCTTGTTTGACATAACACCTCCTCATATAGCTAAAAACTAGAATAATCGAAATTCATATAAAATTTCGGGGTAAATGTTTCTTTTCTTTTCTCTTTCTTTTCTTTTCTCTTTCTTTTTCCTATTATCTTTTCTTATTTATTTTTCTTATTGAAGCTCTTTTCTTTTACATTGAGCACTATAATTTTATTAACTACACTTCCAGCGCACGATATTATATCTTATACACACACACACACACACACATATATATATATATATATATATATATAATACAGCAATGTATTTGTATATTTTATACTTGCAATATCTGTAACTTTTTGTCAAGTGGTAATGTTATTCTTATGACAATTGCAGAGGTTTAAAAAGTAAGAAAGTGAAAAGAGCCATTCCGTGAAAAATACATCAATAATAATAATTGTAAAACTATATTTTAAGACTCACATATGAAAACATTGTAATCATAATAAGGAGTAAAGAAAGTATTAGATTTATAGATGATATCATTTTTGACAGTATCAGTAAAATAATTTTCCAATAATAGCGATGTACTTGCTTCGGCAGTACATATACTAATGGCGATGTTAGTGTACAGAGTAGCATAACATGTCCTTTGCCTACTACTATTACTATTGACTATTACAAATTAGAATAAAGATTTTGAGAAGCATACAAATAATTGAAAGGTTATCACCTTCACAGGTCACCTCCATGAGATTTGTGTTGAATAAATAACGGAAAACAAAATCCTTTTATATAAATATTGATGGCACGTTTTCCTAAGAAATAAGCATCGTTTACCCTATAAAAATTATTGCGTACAAAATTAAAAATATCTTTATTCATTTTAATGCGTTATTTCAATTGTATGTCACAGGATTTTAAGGTGACTCAGTGAATTTATATTTCTTGTAATGAAGCCTTGAAACTCATAGGCAGACATTCCCCTTTTAAAATCTGGTATAAAAATTAATTTACAGTAACCTCTTTTCGTAATAATGAGATAAAATTTGAGAACGACTAAAGTTCAGCTACATCGTATTTATATGTTAAACTAATAAAATATATATTTTTGTCTAAGATCATAAGAGTGTTGAACACACACGCACACACACACACTCATATATATATATATATATATGTGTGTGTGTGTGTGTGTGTGTGTGTGTGTGTGTGTGTGTGTGTGTGTGTGTGTGTGTGTGTGTGTGTAAGCAAATATATGGATATAGATCCGGCAGTATGAAGAAAAATATACTGAAAAAACAAACAAAAATCCTAATATGCGATTATGCTGTTTTAATGTTTAATGTCAACGTCGGACGTTTCGGTCTAATAGACCATCTTCAGGACATATTCATAAAACATAATTAACATAGACCATATACAATTCAACATGAAAAAGACGATGGACATAAAAACAATACCAATCCAAACAGATAACTGAAATCTTTTATAAGATCAGCATTCCGTATTCTTTTCGTTTTTCATTCAAAATACTCAAATTTTAGAAATACGTTTTCACAACATCGCCCACGTGACGACGACGTGATCATATTTTAACGGAAGTGCTGATGTCATGGAAATGAATCTGACATAAGAGTGTTGTTCATTTAGGCTGTTCCTGCTCATTATCGGAATTCGAACAGAACATCTCATTTCTCAATTTGTGGGGACATATAACATCCTTCGATCTGCAGTATCACATGTATATTGGGAATACCAATGTGGACAGGACGGTGGCCGACCAAAAGTAACAGACAAGCGGAACACGCTCAAAAACATAAACTCCAGCAAATACAGGGAGCATAATAACATCGTTGGATAGAGCAAGGTTTTCAGCTCCAAAACACTACTTTTCCACAGTCACTACCATAGATTGGTTATGCATTTTCGACAGCGACCAATATTCTGTTGGTTGATAACTGTGCTGAGCCACTTGGAATGTGACTTGTCACACATTTCGCCATCACTACAGCTGAAACGCATTGTCCACGTTTAAAATTTGCTCTCTATAAGCGTTCAGCAATTGTTGATGAATGTCAGTGGGTACAATTTTTGAATGGGAGAATTCAATGACGCACCTATATTTCGCATATACTTTAATGTCAGATGCCATCTTACCAGATTGTCCCTCAGCTGCTATCAAAATGCAACTAACAAATGTTGAATTATAGCGGAAACGCTCAACGTCTACCAACATCATCCTGTTATTTGAACCAACATGATTAAATAGAAAGTATCATTTCTCAGGATGGTTTTCGTATTTCATTTATTGAATGTTGAATTAATGATGTTGAAAATTTCCCAGTTCGACCCATTTACCAAATGTTACATTTTAAGGATTTCTTGGTCTAGTTGAGGACTTTTCAGCGCATATATTTAAATAATTTTTTTAACAATGATACTACTAGTGAAAAATTACTGCTAATGAACTGTCCCTACTAAAATTCACATGTATGTATATGTAATGATTTTCCAAGCGTAGCTCAGATGTGGCACAAGGCCGAAAGTATGGGGCACCCAGTGAGGATCGAACTCACTACTCAGTCGTAACTAATCAAGCAAGACAAACTTTCTAACCATTACATCACGTCGAAGTGCTCCATGTATGTATATATATGTACATAAAGGTCATACCTCTCTCCACACATATGTGTTTTTAGATAAATGAACTGAATTCGTCTAAAACAGGTTTATTATATATATATATATATATATATATATATATATATATATATATATATATATATATATATATATCAGTTTTATCAATTGAATGTGCACCTGTTGTCTACCTTGAAACAATAAAATTATCGCAATTGAAAGCTGTTATATACTTGCAATCTTGTTCATCATGTGCTTTGTATAGATATCAGTTTTACGAAATATCACTGAGGAATTATGACATTATTGAATCTTAAATGTATTCTGGATATATTGAATGACTAAAAAAAGCTATATTTAATTGAATGTTCATATCTGAATACCTGGATCACGAATTTTATTTAAATTAACCTACGGGATATGTTTTATTTAAATTAACCTACGGGATATATTATTTATATAAGCAATATAAGTGTGTAAGTTTCAGGTGTGTTTTTATTACAAATATTTACAACAATCTATTTGGTGGTGTGAGTTCTTATTATGAAAGCTGTGTGATTGTTCATGTTTTAAATAAATAATTATTACATTCATTGATATTCATTTTTCATTTCAAATATAAAAATTGCCATTTGTCGTAAGTATGATATAAACTCAAAAGAAATACAAGATATTAGAAAGTTATTTGAAAATGCCAAAACGTTAAACAATCAAAAACATTACTAAGATAAGAACAAGATGGCTTTAAGTATGTCACAAAATGGATTTGGGAATAGTTTAAAGAGTAATAAGCAAGACAGGTAAATTGACTGGCGGAGAAATATTTGAAGAAGTTTTTATTGTGAATGCAAACAAAAAATATGCAAATATTAAGAAAATTTACTAAATACTTGAAAACTAACACTTATGAAAACATTATGAAGGCATGAACATACATCTGGCAACAAGTTCACTGATCGAGAGATTTGAGGTTCTTAAATGTTGTTGTTTCCAGGTCCACTCTGATCCGGGTGGTAGCACCAGTTGGGGTCCCAGCTAGGGGCAAATATTTACCCCCACCCAAACAAATCAACACTTCATTTTTATAGTAAAACGATCAAGAATACATTTTTATAGCAAAATAACAATCAGTGTAACACTAAAAAAAAGTATTAAAACACATTTTTTATAAATAAAAGTTACCAACAATACATTTTTGTATGAAATTACCAGCAATATATTAAAAAAATACCAACAATACATTTTATGATCTACAAGCTATATATCTAAAAACATATATATATATATTAAAGTATTAATTTATGCACAAAATATTTAGATTTCGTATTAGATAACTCATAAAGGTTGATATGCCGCTAAACAAAATCAACTAACCTACCAACTTAACAGACTACTTGGCACGAAGTTTGGTTTCGGCTAACATCAAAAATCGCATTATTTTCTTTTTAACTGACCAAAATTCTTTTATTTTCCAGCTTTCCTTTCTTTTTCCTTATTCTTTTTTTATAGCGGAAGTTATACGTGGGGCCTCTCTTATTTTGGTAGAATTCTAGTCACAATAACAAGACCCTGGACCCCCAAACTTCAGTTTTTCTTGCCTTCCCATCAGTTGAGAAAGAAGTATAGCGAGAAGGGTGAAAAGAGAGAGAGATGACAGATGAACATGAGAATGGAAAGTTATATTCAAACAAAGAATTAATAAAAACTGCTGCAAAGTGAAAACCGGAGAAATCTTAGCAAATCTTAGTGAAAGACTGAAGTTTATATAATGTCACGGATCCCGTAATATTATCTAAAATAAAGCAATAATAATTTATATTGTATATGGGATAGTGTGTTTATCAAACATACGTTTGTTTTTCTTTTTATTTATGAATGAAAATTGTTGCATTTAGTTTGTTTGCAAAACAAAACCTAACACTTCTAAAATTATTATCGACATTTTTAGCAAGGCTAGATATTATAAAAATGAAACTTACATGATATTTTGCTCATATAAGTATAACATGAAAATATTATTGTCGGTTGGTTCATTTTAGTTGTATCGTGAAAACATTGACTTGCATCATCCAGTATGGCATAATGTAAGTCTACAACTAATGTTTTATTATTCGTACTTTTTTAATGCATACCAAAAACATTAAAATGTGAAACTCAAATCAAATTGCTATAAATTTTTGCTTGAACACTTCTCTACAACACCAAAGTCAAGCATCTGTCATTTGATTCGGATGTAAAAATATCACCAAATATAAAATACCGAAAATATTTACACACATTTGCAAATTTTATCACTGGTAAACTTGCTTGACTTTAATGAATAACAGTATCACCAGTTGGCAATTGGATCAAAGCTTAAATGATCGTGTTCATTGTTACATTTTATTCTTTTGACTGTTTTCCAGATATTCCAAACGCATGTTGTGTACATATTCACGTATTGTTCTGTTTACTTTTTTATATATGAAACATTAAGATTCTTTTTAATTGTTTCAGGTACATATAGCCTATGGCGACTCTAGAAGTACAAGTTTTTACAAACACAACAATATGTTGCCACAAAGTGTCAAGGAATAAACACATAAGCTTGAGTGCTTTACACGTTTAGACACAAGAATTGTTCCCGAGCATATTTCTACCATTTGATCAAAGCAAAGATGACATCAAATGCATTACAAGATTAAATATGAAAATGAAATCAAATCTTACCTGACCCCTCGTCCCCAAGAATATTACCCCAGCCACCACATTGTCTTGCGACACCGTCTGGGTTGATTAACTGGCAACAAGATCCGGTTCCCGAGATTAGCAACATTCCAGCTCCTAGTCAAATTAAAAACATGAAGACATAAAAATAAAATGAGCACTTTCTAGATTGTCAGCTGAAGAGGCCATATTTGATATGAAAAACGACTTCAGTCAAAACAACTATAAAAATTACAAATTGAGAACGAATTTATTAATAAATTCAACAAAAGTTTAAAAATAAAAAGTTTATTGTTTAGGTTTAAGTTAAAATAAATAACGTTATTTCCCATTTTGTACATTCAAATATTTCTAATTTGAACTTACATTCGAAATATCCCTATAGTTGTTGTTGTTTCAATAACTGCGTTTCATTTAGTAAAAGGATATGAATTTATAATCTTCTCTGAATTAATAGTAAAAATTACAACTTACATAAAGCAGGCAGTTCTTTTCTAAGATGTTTTTTAATTACTAAAATACAGTATTAAATGTTAGTAGTAATAGTTCTGTGTGTTTATGCTATATATAATAAAGTGGAGACAAAACAAGTAGAAGGGATCATTTCATTGCTGGGATAACGAAGCTTGTTACCAAATTAGCTGAAGGAAATTTGATTTAAAATCAATTTCTCGTGTAAATCTCATAGACGTATTTCAGAAATCATATTCACTAAGAGTAGAAGCTTATTTTTCACCTGATTTGGATACCATAGACAAAGCACACTGAGAATCTGTGCACGGCTCAACAGATTCGATTAAATCACATTTTTCTTTCATTAATTTCTTTAGTTGCTCTTTTGCTTTTTCTCTTTCACTTCCAGCAAGGGCCAATCCCTGAAAAAGAGATTTTCAGAAACATTTGCAACAAGACAATAATAGAAACCAGCGTTATCTCCACTACGCTTTTATTATTTTATTATAAATAATGATGATAAAAAATGACTGAAATTTTTGTTCAATTTTACCAAATAATGAAAGTTTTCACGTTCAATCATCGGGTCACACACTGTGCCATATGTTCATCACAGAGAAATATAAATTTTAATCTCCAACTCACACAAACTTTCATTTTGTAGTCAGTTTTGTAGTTGAAATATGCATAAGGGTTGTGTTATTTAGTATCTAATGTGTTAAGGTTACTATTTTATAGAAGTGGCAGTTGTAGTTGTGAAAATCCATGATCGCCCAGCTTCTGAAAGAAATTGGCACATAAAAAAAGTTGTAGTAGTAAAATTGTTCACTATTCTATAAAAGTAAAATTGTGCACTCGCGCACGTGTGTATGTGCGAGAGAGAGAGAGAGAGGGAGAGAGACACTGAGGGAGAATTGTCACATTGAGATATCAATGTGAAAGCGTAAAACTGCTGTGGAGAAATATCAGGAACTATTGTCACTACTGAGTAAGCCTTGTTGAAAATAATAATGTATTTAAGAACAAAGGGAGGTTTAGACAGGCTTCAGATGAGATTCTGGAAAAGGGCCTTCAGCAGTGTTTCTATTTGAAAGAAACTATTTGTGATATTTTTTCCGCTTATTTTTATTAGCTACATGTTCTTTCAATCTTTAAGAACAACTGTTTTCATTTGATTTCCGATCTTCGAGGAATGAAGTTAGTGAATTCCAACACTTTGAAAACCGAAAAACAAATAACGAAAGTTATTTTTACAAACAGTTGGAATCAAAACAGCAATTTCCAAAAGCAAATAAAAACAGGTAGAAAACAATAATATTTTCTGCCAAAACAGGAGTAAAACTCAAGTCTGTCTTTGCCTCTTTTCGTCCTTAATTAAAGTGTCCGTCACCGCTAGACCTGTCAGATGTGACCATGGTCCAAGAGATTAACCGATTTCCTTACGCTATTCACCTTCTCAGTGCCACTGTAGTGACAGTACCTAAGATGATCAAAATTCTTCTCACTGTTCACATTTTCACAGTTCTCTATCTCTCTTTTTCTATCACACGCACACACACACATAACACACACACACACAAACACACACACACACAGATCTGCACTGGTCCTTGCAGTTAATAAATTTATTTCTACAATTCCTCACATTTCTACACTTCACATAAACTACTCATACTCAACTGGACACAGTGCTGTAATATAAATGTCCCTATTTCATACGATACATCCGCTGCCTAATGAATTTTCCAAGCTAATTTTAGTAATAAACTATTTAAACTATTAGGGACTTCTCCAATTTCTCATACATATTCTGTCTGAAGCTTTTGATAGATGCTGAAAATGTATTAATCTCTCAGACTCTTCTTCGTTTCAGCACGCCGGACAATTATTATTACTTGATCACGATTAAAAAAAAATACAGCCGTGTGCCTCCTTTCCACCTTCAACAACTTGTTCTCTCAGTTCCACCATTTTGAAGACTAGATGTCTTTCGGAAGAGGATTTCCTGGTTTCAACTGACCGTGGTGTACTTGCAACTTTCGCTACGTTCTCTTTTATCCTGTTAATGGAAGGTCAGTCTGGTGAGGTTGCTTTCCATTCAGAGAGGAAAATCCGCTCCATACGGATATATATATATATATATATATATATATATATATATATATATATATATATATATATATATATATATGTATATATATATATATATCTCTGGCAGAGAATTGAGTTATGATGAAATGGATCGAAATGGAAGTATTTTAGTAGTAACTGGGCTTTTGCACGTACGCTGAAATCCACAGTCCATTGTTGGATGTTAAGCCTCTCTGCAGGATGGAAAGCACACGTTTTCATTGATCGCTAATCTCAATGAAAAAGTTCCACGGTTCTTATTGATGTTACCCTTTTACTTAGGAAATACACAGTGTAAACTAGAAACAACAAATATATCTCCCAAACGGGGAAATGGACATTATGGAATAACTGGCCATGGTTAAGTGTAATTGGCAAAATTTTCTAGGAACGGTCAATAAACAATAAGAAAAGGAACAGAGCTAAACAATACATATACAGGTCTAAACTAGGCAAATGAACAGTAATGAGGCAAAAACTTCGCAAAGTAATTTTGTTCACACGTAAAAGGTATGCAGTCAAATATCTACAGCGTTCTGACTTCAAGGCGAGAAAGAACAAAAATATAAGAAATGAAACCGAGAATTGTACATTTTTATTGGTTAAAGAAGAAAACCCAGTATATTTATGTAGGTTTTTGTTTATAAATTTGGGAAGGGGATGTTCTTTTTAACCATTTTTATGATTGAACCAGCAGACAAACAAATTACATTTAAAAGAAATAGATAAACAAGGAAACACTTTTTAAACAGAAACAATAACAATTTGAAATAAACTCAAAGAAATGATAAAGGGACACATGGTATCTTAGAGGAGAATTTCAAACTTATTAGAGAGCAGATATTTACCGTGCTACTTCGTAGACTAGCATTAGCTTAAATAATACGTGATAGTTTCCTTACCCGAAAAGGAGTCACGTGGTAGCAGACTCGCTGAAATTACAGATGAACTCATATGTGATAAATGGCAATTTTCATATTTTACGAAACATTAAAATTATACTCATAATTTTAACACTATTACTACTATCATACTACTACTAAGTAGCAAGGTCTCTAAACATATATAGCGGGCTTTTCGACGTCCTCGCTTTCTCGTTAGCTGCCACTTTATGTAGCTATAGTACGAGAGTTATTGAAAAGCTCTCGGTTTGACCAAGAAGGGCTTCCAAAAATATTCTGTTTGGTCATTTAGATTGTGAAAAGAGGGTCAGGCCAAGTACTTTCCAGCACTCCTGATAGTACTAAGACCATTTTCGTTCTTATATGGAGGTCGAATCGAGATTTGTGGACTCAGATCATCAGGTTGTAGCCTACGGATAAGATGCTGGTGTAACTATCTGCTTTGTACAGTGATATAAGGTTAATTAGAAGAATGGTTTACTGGATAAAAGCTGAAGGGCCTTAATGAACTTATGAAGAAATAACGAAAAATTATTAGGCAGAAAATCCACTAAGGCACAAGGGGGTTACTGGGTGCGGAAGAATTAGAAAACATACTTTATCCCAGTTAACAACAGAATAAAGGTCGTCTTTACATCAGACGCCAACTCGACGTATCGAACTGATCAGACTTACTATCAAGACAGGAGTAAATGGTTGTGTTGTCAGCATAGATACTAAGTTGAGAGCCAATCCCATCGGGAAGGTCGTTAATGAAAATTAAAAACAAATTAGGACCAAGGATAGAGCCGTGGGGGACACCTGCATTAGTATGAAAGGATCTAGGAAAGTAGCCGTTCAGGATAACATTCATTTCACCATTTGATAAGAAAAAATTAATCAGTTCACAAATTTGGCCGGAGACACCGTAACTTTTCAACTTGTGAAGAAGACCGGTATGTCAAACCCCTCGAAAGCTTTTGAGATGTCCAGAGTAGCAGCCTGAGCTTCACCATTCTTTTCTAGAGCTTGATAGACTCTTTCCACAATTATCGTCAGTACATCAGCAGTTGACCTAAAGAAACGAAAGCCATATTACTTGTCTGAAAGAAGGCCCTACGATGTTAGATGCTTAATCAATTCAACATTGATTAGGGCCTCTAGTCGTTTCCCAAAAAAAGGCCGATATTTAGAAGGGTCGGACGTTTCATCTTTCTTAAAAACTGGAACAACAGATGAGAATTTCCAACATGCAAGAAAGCATAAGGCATCGAGGCATTTATTATACAGTTTAGAGAGAACGACTGCCAGTTTGGGAGCACACTTCTTATTACAGGGTTACCATCAGGTCCAAATGGAAAGTTTGGCAAGTATACTCCAGATGAGTCATGAGTAGAGTTTAATGAGAATTTATGGACGAAACATTCAGCTTGATATTTATTGATTGAAGGGGGGAGGAATAGAAAACTTACTCTTATTTAATACATTATTACAGAGCCGCGAGTAAACACAAGAGCCAGAATTGTTAGATACAATACGGTGCCTCATTCTCTTAGCAAACTTAGCTCCTTCAAAGACACGTTTACATTTATTACGTGCAGACATGAATAGGCACCTGTTATGGTGAGAACTACCACGCTGGTATAGCCAGAAATAGTGGTTCCTGTGCTCTATAACGGCAGAACATGCTGGTATGAAGCATGGACAAATTTAAACTTTATGTCAAGGAGGTTCGCACAAATTTAAGCCGTGATTGCTCTGAAAGCGAATTATGATGAACACTGTCGAGAAGCTTGAGTCAATACGGGAAACATTTTACAATGATGCACGGATGTAAGTAAAACCGAGTCAAAAATACGTAGGAGGATCAATGCATACACAGCTATGGCGGTAGATCTGTTGATGTTAATGAAACTACGCTTGTCAGAAGATGAAGAAAGAAGAGTCTGAAAAAATAAGACTACGCATACTACTATACCTTTTCAACTTCAAAATGATAATAATCAACTTCAAAATGGACTTATTTTCAGGTAAAAAAATTATTCAACTCCAAAATGGATTAATCAACTTCAAATTGAGAATTAATATAATATTAATAAATTTAATATATATTCTTTTATTTTTACTTAAAAGGGATATAAAAAAATATGAACATTCCTAAGAAATTTATTTAAAAGATTACATCATCTAAGTTATTTACAGAGGGATGTAATCTCTGTATTCCAGATACGAATTTAGTGCTAGTCTCAGGGAAAATATTATTAATTGCCTCGGAGACCATCGCTTCTAACTTGCTGAGGTGGAATTGTTTATTATTTAAAGATCCCTGTCCATCACCTCTTAAAATCCCAACAATTGAGTCTGCCATACTTCTTTTTACGTCAGCTTTAATGACTGACCAAACCTTTTCAATGGGATTTAACATCGGACTATAGGGGGCAAGTCTGAAAATTTGGTGTTGCCTAAATTCCTCCTCCTCCACAACTTCTTCAATTGAAGTATGACAAGGAGCGTTATCAATAACTAAAACAACTCCCCTTTCATAAATTTCATTTGCCTTTCTAAGGCACTCCCTGGTCCATTCTTTCGCATCCTCTTTTTTGAAAGAACCTCTTATAATTTTATGATGAATTCTTGGCCTCTAAGTTGTTTGTATTTTGGTTTTTTCTTCATCTGTATAATGAAGACGAACAGTCAATGTCCTTATTCTTGGGGTAAATAAATTGAAAAAATAATTTTCAATTTACCAAAAAAAAATATCTCAATTTGAAGTTGTTTATTCCAATTTGAAGTTGTTTATTCTTATTTTGAAATTGATTGTTTTTAGTTTTTTGACATTTTCTCGATTTGAAATTGATTAATCCATTTTGAAGTTGATTGTTCCATTTTGAAGTTGATTGATCCATTTTGAAGTTGATTGATCCATTTTGGAGTTGATTAATTTTTTTACTTGAAAATAAGTCCATTTTGAAGTTGATTATTATCATTTTGAAGTTGATTATTATCATTTTGAAGTTGAAAAGGTATAGATAATGAGTTTGTGCGGCCCATATATTTCCATGGCTTTAGATGTGAAAGGAGATTATTCTGCAAAGGATATCGATGCTCTCCATGATGCTGTTAAAAATAACCAAAATTCCATTGGAACTCAACAGCTGGAGCTTTTGGCAAGTCTCCTTTTTTCCAAGGACTATGATATACAGCAAACAACTATGGCAGATGTTAAATGTACAGTACATACAGATAATCAAGCAAGGGTGACCAAAAATAAGCGAAAAAAATTGCTAGAAACAAAGAAAATCTTGTGGCTAAATCAGTGACTCATGCCTCCAAGAAATAAATATAGAGACTAAAAATTCTAAAAATTTCTCCAAGAATGAAATATTTAAGACAGACTAAAATTCTTAAAAATGCTTCCAAAAAAAGAAAATTTAAAAGGGATTAAAAATCTTTAAAAATACCATCGAGAAATAAATTCAAAAGGAATCTAGAAATCTTTAAAATTCCTCCAAGAAAGAAAATAAAGTAGCGAAAAAATAGTCCCTCCCCCCACCCATCAAAAAGAGATAAAGAAGACTTCTGCTTCTGTTAAAAATAAAAACAAATAATCCTTGTAGTCCGTTTAGGGGGCATTTTGGGAACTTAATATAAAGAAATCCCCATTGATTTGCTGATATATAGTATCAGATATCAACGATAATTTGGTGGGAGTTTAACGGTCGCCGAAAAGCCTGATATATGTGTTACCAGGTTTAAAGACCTTGTACATAGCAGTAGTAGAATAACAGCAATAACAGTCTAATAGTGTTCTTTGAAGTGTATTTTGTTTTTTCATTTCTCCTTCTGATATATATATATATATATATATATATATATATATATATATATATATATATATATATATATATATATATCATTTGTTTCTAGTTTTCACGGTTTATTTCCTAAATAGAAGGATAATATCAGTGTGAAGCGTGGACCTTTTTCATTGAGACCAGCGATCAATTACAGGTCGCTACATACCCATTTCTCAGAACGCATAAAATACACAAATTGAGAATTTACTCCCTTTCAATATTATTTTAACGTGTCAACTGGAATTTAGAATGTTATTCGAATTTTAGCATGAGTTTTAATTTACAATATTCATTGGCATTTCTTTTTCCGCTTACCAGAGATTTCAAATGAATTTCGGGTTCCATAATGATTTCTTCCATTGTTTGTTGAATCATCTTGTGGATACGAGAGACGCATTCCTCCAAACCAATCAGCTTGTTTTGGGGTTTGTTTTTTTTTCAAGAAAAATAAAATTGAGAACAACAAAAGAAAAGATTTTATATTCATTTAAACAAAACATAATCGAATACATGTTAAGAGTCAAATTTCATTTTGCTGTTGATATACATATCAATATTTTGATATAATGATTTTTAAATTATAGATCTTAATTATAACTGAATAATTATTTGTGCGCTGTATGTTTCTAGCCTGATTCTACTGAAAACAAACGAAACATAGATTACAGGAAATGCTTGTTCGATACACTTAACCATTTGTATTGGAGTTTGTAAAAACAGCGATAAAATATTTCTCAGTTAAAAAAATGACTACATCTGACGTCAAGAATATTCAGTAAACATGGTGTTTTATTTCTCTTGAAATGTCAACAAAATCTTTCAAAATGTAAAAGAATTGCATAAATAATATTCAAATACAGTAGAATCCCTGACAACCAGACTAAAAAGGCCTTTCGAATATGAGGAATGGTTAAAAAGTCCGGATATGAGGGGTTATATTTAGATTAAAATAAAAGAACTGAAATCAGGTTTAACATTTATTTTCAATGTTTTATAGTAAACAAAATAAGCTAAATGTGAGTGAATTGATTTTAAGGAAAAAGAAACAAATTGTGTAATATTAATAAAAATTCATTAAATTAAGTATGCCACGTATGCAACACAAATAATTTAACGGGGATTTTTTAATCACTGCTGCATGATGATTCTTTCTCTTCTAATGTCATTCAAAACTTTTTCCGAATTTCGTTTTGCTTTTGTTCTTGAAATTTTTTAAACGAAAGACACTTTTTAACTCTTCGTGCGTTATTGCAATCGTCATAGCTGAATGCTGGCTTTCTTTCCATAAAACTGACAACCTTTTCAATAGCTTTTTCAATTTCAGTCCAGATTTCATCACAATCATGTTTTTTTTTATTTCTTTGCTCATTCTGACAGTGTGAACGCTGGAGAATAGTTTCTTTGGGAGATTTTATATCATACAATGTTGACTCAGCCATTAGTTACAATGAACTTTCACCAGCGTCTAGTCTGTTTAAAATTTCCACTTTATGCGATAACTCCAAAGATGTTCTTTTCCTTTTATTCACATCATTTTTTGCACCAATACAAGCCAATAGGGTGGAATAAGCATAAACAATTATCCAAAGTAATTTCCTGAAAAGCAGAAATTTTAAATCAGTTACATATCACCCAAATAGTTCAAATATACACATCAAAATCATGTCCGGATATACGGGATTCCGGATATGAGGCACGCCGGATATGAGCGATTCTACTGTATAAGACATTTTGAAATCATTTATGATTTGTAGTTTACTTTAAATAAATAAGTAATGTGGTTAATTCACTTTAAATAAACTATTTTATAGTTTTGCCAAAACAATCCGTAAATTTATTTATCATTTGGGATTTTTCTGTTCTTGGAGAAAAAATATATTTGCACCAAGTCTATACCTGTATAGGTATCGCCTTGATTTGTACGCATAAAAGTATAATCGAACTGAAATTTTCAATGATACAAGAAAATAAGTCGTCAGCATGCGATATGATTAAAAAAGAACAACCACAAACTGACTGCTAAGTAGAAGTTAAAGAAAATTGTCTGATCAATTTCATTTATGTATCGACAAGTCGTAAGTTATCTTCAAATATAACGTTTTATTGGATGTAGAGTTTTTATCCTATTCATTAATGTGTATGTGTTTATTTGCCATCAAAATGCAGTCCTAAAAGAACTTGACTGTCTTATATAAATCGTCTACATTTGTAAGCTTACCCATTTATTCAATGCTGGGCCTTCTCTTTTATAAACTATTTCTCCTGATTGGTTCAACAAAACGAGAAACGAATGAGTCCCACCACTGCAACGGAATAAAAGAAAGTAAAAATAATTTCCCATCATATTCTTTCTTAAACTTTTTATAAGTGCTAAATATGTTCACCTACAATTTTAAGTCTAACGTCCTTGTGTAAATGGCTGGTAGAACAGGGACTGAGAGGGATTGTAAGATGTCAAACATTGCTTAGAGTTACAATGATAGGAGTTTGTGGAGAGGAATGACCGCCCAGTTTATGAAAGGACATCACAGAACATAGAAGATATGTCAATAACATCGATGTAAGATCATCTCTTATTCATCCTTGGAACAGTCCGGAATTTCAAATTGCTAATGTATTTCCTCGTAGATGTCTACTGTTCAACCTCCTTTTTACAATCTCTTTTATTCTTTTGCAATATTCATCTTTTTCATCTTCTCCATAATCATTTTTAATTTTAAGAAAATTAAGAATTTACTAGGTTTTCATAGATTATCTAATGAAAACAAATACTCAAATCAGAAAACATGCTAAAATACACTACAAATTTTCAAAATGATACAAACAATAAGCAATAATAAAAAGATGGGAAATTTGAATGAAGAAACTGATTAGTAAAGGTAAATTAATACAAACAGATATCTACAATAACCTATCATATTAACTAGGAAGTTAAAGAACAATATTTTTTCTGTGTTTATGTTTTGTATTAGAATTTAATTTGAGAACCACTACAAAAATGTTTTACAAGTTCATGTCCTAGCTTCTTTACTGATCTTTACCCCGACTTTCACCCCTCTTTAAAATAAGAATATATTTTCTGACGAATGAGAGGGCTGAAAATTTATAAAAAGGAATTTAACCGCTCCTGCATTGACCACGGTGCCATAAAGTAAGGGATAACGCTGACACCTTGCCGGACCCTTATTTCCGAAACCAGCTCACAAACTTTTGATATTTATCAGAGATAATAATATATTTCTGACGAATGAGAGGACGAATGAAAGTGTCTGTGAAGGAGGCTCGGCAGGGGTTAGCGAAGCTACGAATCTGACTTTCCGATACTGTGGATGCGAGCGTGAAGAGTCGGTAGAAGTCGCGAAATTGACTTTAATATACAGTGGATACGAGCTTGAAGATTCGGGAGAAGACCCGAATCTGACTATGACAATACAGTGGATACGAGCTTGAAGACTCGGGAGAAATCACGAATCTGACTTTGACAATACAGTGGATACGAGCTTGAAGACTCTGGAGAAGTCACAAATCTGACATTGCCGATTTAGTGGATACGAGCTTGAAGACTCGGGAGAAGTCACGAATCTGACTTTGACGATACAGTGGACACGAGCTTGAAGACTCGGGAGAAGTCACAAATATGACTATGACAATACAGTGGATACGAGCTTGGAAACTCGGGAGAAGTCACGAATCTGACTATGACAATACAGTGGATACGAGCTTGAAGACTCGGGAGAAGTCACGAATCTGACTATGACAATACAGTGGATACGAGCTTGAAGATTCGGGAGAAGTCCCGAATCTGACTATGACAATACAGTGGATACGAGCTTGAAGACTCGGGAGAAGTCACGAATCTGACTATGACAATACAGTGGATACGAGCTTGAAGACTCGGGAGAAGTCACAAATCTGACTATGACAATACAGTGGATACGAAGCTTGAAAACTCGGGAGAAGTCACGAATCTGACTATGACAATACAGTGGATAAGAGCTTGAAGACTCGGGAGAAGTCACGAATCTGACTATGACAATACAGTGGATACGAGCTTGAAGACTCGGGAGAAGTCCCGAATCTGACTATGACAATACAGTGGATACGAGCTTGAAGACTCGGGAGAAGTCACGAATCTGACTATGACAATACAGTGGATACGAGCTTGAAGACTCTATGACAATACAGGGAGAAGTCACGAATCTGACTATGACAATACAGTGGATACGAGCTTGAAGACTCGGGAGAAGTCACAAATCAGACTATGACAATACAGTGGATACGAGCTTGAAAACTCGGGAGAAGTCACGAATCTGACTATGACAATACAGTGGATACGAGCTTGAAGACTCGGGAGAAGTCCCGAATCTGACTATGACAATACAGTGGATACGAGCTTGAAGACTCGGGAGAAGTCACGAATCTGACTATGACAATACAGTGGATACGAGCTTGAAGACTCGGGAGAAGTCCCGAATCTGACTATGACAATACAGTGGATACGAGCTTGAAGACTCGGGAGAAGTCACGAATCTGACTATGACAATACAGTGGATACGAGCTTGAAGACTCGGGAGAAGTCCCGAATCTGACTATGACAATACAGTGGATACGAGCTTGAAGACTCGGGAGAAGTCACGAATCTGACTATGACAATACAGTGGATACGAGCTTGAAGACTCGGGAGAAGTCACGAATCTGACTATGACAATACAGTGGATACGAGCTTGAAAACTCGGGAGAAGTCACGAATCTGACTATGACAATACAGTGGATAAGAGCTTGAAGACTCGGGAGAAGTCACGAATCTGACTATGACAATACAGTGGATACGAGCTTGAAGACTCGGGAGAAGTCACGAATCTGACTATGACAATACAGTGGATACGAGCTTGAAGACTCGGGAGAAGTCACGAATCTGACTATGACAATACAGTGGATAAGAGCTTGAAGACTCGGGAGAAGTCACGAATCTGACTATGACAATACAGTGGATACGAGCTTGAAGACTCGGGAGAAGTCACGAATCTGACTATGACAATACAGTGGATACGAGCTTGAAGACTCGGGAGAAGTCACGAATCTGACTATGACAATACAGTGGATACGAGCTTGAAGACTCGGGAGAAGTCACGAATCTGACTATGACAATACAGTGGATACGAGCTTGAAGACTCGGGAGAAGTCACGAATCTGACTATGACAATACAGTGGATACGAGCTTGAAGACTCGGGAGAAGTCACGAATCTGACTATGACAATACAGTGGATACGAGCTTGAAGACTCGGGAGAAGTCACGAATCTGACTATGACAATACAGTGGATACGAGCTTGAAGACTCGGGAGAAGTCACGAATCTGACTATGACAATACAGTG